CACATCAGGGCCTTGATACTTAGAACAGAGTGTTGGTGCCCATGTTATATACTCTAGATGTAAAAAGGAACCCCCAAAATATTGTAGATATACTATATATGTAGTAAGGAACCGTAGCAGTTTGTGCCCCTTTCTGACTGTATATGGGTAATGATCAAAACTAGAGTCCCTTTTGGGGTACCCTAAATAATGGGTGCCGTCTTATAACAGGGACCCTAAAAGGGACCCTAATTTTGACAACCGCCCATAGAACTTCCCGGGAACCCGAAAGCTCCGAACCAGAAGGTCCCTCCTCGGAAATGAGAGCAGGATCCTACGGGTCTGGGGTTTAGGGCTTAAGGGGGTAAGGGTTTAAGGGCTTAAGGGTTTTCGGGTTTAAGGGTTAAGGGTTTAGGGTTTAGGGGTGTAAGGGTTTAGGGTTTAAGGGTTTACGGTTTAGGATTTAGGATCCTTCGAAGTGGGCACTACCCAAAAAGGTCTAGGGTTTAGGGTTTAAGATCCGTTGAAGTGGGCACTACGTGGGCACTATTTCGGGTTTAAGGTTTAGGATCCTTCGGGGGGGCACTGCCCGAACCTCGGGCTCCGACGACAATTTCAGGAATGTTCCTTTATTCAAGGATATTGGAGTCTGTGGGAAGCCTTTCGGATCCTGAGGTCGTGAATTTCCGAACCTGGAGCCCCCCCCTCAATGCCGAGGGGCCATGTGTGTGAGCTCCTGGGCGGTACTCTGGGGCTTTACAGGGTTTAGGCTTTAGGGTTAAGGTTAAAGGGTTTAAGGTTTAGGAGTTTAAGCTTCAGGGTTTACGGGCTTTTCCGTAGCCATTTTGGCTCAAGAGGGGTTGCGGCTCGAGGCTATTGACCTGGGTTTCTTTTCCCAAAGTGCCCTTCCCGACCCCAGCTACATTCTCCTGTTTCTGTAGCGCCATAGCTGGTCCGCGGTGGCCTTTATCTTGAGCTCCGGTTCGCTTGCGACTGAGCTCATGGCATTCGCAATCGTCATCGTTGGCATTGCGTATTGCACTGATTGGTTATTTCAAGCTGGCCATTCGTCGTGTCCGCTCCGACTTGTTCCCTTTGATGTCATCGCCTACCGAGTGGGATGGGCTCTGCTGCCGAAGGCTCGATTCCGGATTGCGGGCTCTGATCTTCAACCTGGATGGTCTGTGCGGCCTCTGCTGCTCAATTTGTTTGTACGGCCACTACCACCGGCACAAAGAAAACCGTCTACCTCTACGACGACCGCGGCCACTGTCACCAGCACAGTGACCAGTACGACACGGTCAGCCACGACTGCCACCAGCACGGTGACCGGCACGACGCCATCTGCCAACATGGTGATCAAGGCCATTGCTTTAGCATGGAGACTACGACACTGTCTACTACGGTTACTGCCCGCAGTGGCCCGTGCCAGCAGCACAGTGACCAGCACGAAGCAGTCGACTATGAATGGGACGGTGACCATAGCCACTGCCGCCAGCACGGTGACCGGCACGACACCGTCTACCGCACTGGTGACGACGACCACTGCCACCAGCGCGGAGACTAGTTCGACACTGTCTACCTCTACGGTGTCTACGCTGCAATCTACTACGACGGTGACAACGGGCACTGCGGCCAGCCCGGTGCCCAGCGCGACACTGTCTACCGCCTTGGTGAGAGGGGTCACTGTCGTGACTTGTTCTTACCGTCTTCTGTTTTTGCCTCTGCATGCCTTGATTGGGGGTCAGGCACTCAGGACTTTTGCCGTTTTTTGGACAGGCTCTGACTTTTGCGGGTAAATGCTGCCCGTGTCAGGTTGTTCTGCAGCACGATGCACTTATCCAGTCAGCGGTGTTGCCGGTCTTTGCCTCGTGCTGTCAGGGGCGACCGCTGATGTCGGAGTTGGCTGTTGCTGTTCCGCTTTCCTGAGCTCCCCTCTTTTGTTGCGGTCGAGTTCGGGGAGCCTTTTGTTTCGCGTTGCATGTCGCCAGGGCTGTAAGATCCCGCTTTTTCTAGGGCTTGTGGGACCGCGTCTTAAGGCACAAGATTAGGACCGTCGCGCCGTGAAGTGAAGTGAAGAAGTTTTCGGTTTGGGAGTCTCGGGCATAGGGTTGAGAGCTTCGGGGGTTTTCGAGCTTATCTGGAGTAGATTGGATTCTTGGCTTTTGAGCTGTCGCGCTTCAGGATTCTCCTGGCTTGTAGAAGGTGTCCGCAGCTGTTTCTCTAGGGATTTTTTGTTATCTTCTACTTATGTACAGCTTCCTGTCACGAAGGAATGCAGCTATTGCTAGAGTAGCTATCATAGGGCTATCCCATAAAAGAAACCCCTGATGATGAAGCCCAATAAGGCAGGGGTATCCCCATATAATGCTCATGCTTATGTGGTTTTGGGGTCCCTAGTAGCTATCAACCCGGAAGCCCCAAACCTAGAGCCTTGGGCCTTCTTCCCTGAGTTTTACTCCTCAGGATGACAACCAGGCCCTCGCGACTGTGCAAAGAAGCGGGACTACATTTTGGCTTTAGGGTTTAGGGTTTGGGGTTTGGGGTTTAGGGTTTGGGGTTTAGGGTTTTGGCTTTAGGGTTTAGGAGTTTAAGCGTTTAGGGTTTGCGGTTTAGGGTTTGGGGTTGTGCCAGGCTTGAGAATCTCCAACTCGACAGCAGTACGCCGGGCTTGACTAAGTTCAGCTCACGTGGGCATAAACCCCTAAATCCTAAACCCTAAATTTGAACTGAAAAACATCCCAAACCCTAAACCTTAAACTTGAACCTCCAAACCTAAGCCCTCAACTTGAACCCTAAACCCTACTGTAAACTTGAACTCTAAACCCCAAACCAAAAAAAATATTAAACTCGAGCCCCCAACTGAACAGTAAACTTGAGCCCCAAACCTTAAAGACAATGACCCAGCCTTCTTGATGGCCGCCCGCGCGGTATACCACGGCTGCGGCTTGCTCAAAGATGCATTGGCCTGGCTTCGGGCGAAGAGGCTAGGGGTTCAGGGCTCCGGATTTGTACACTTTTGAAGCCTAGACCCTAACCTCTGACCCCTAACCCCTACACCCTAAACCCTAGAGTCCTAGAGACCCTAAAGCCCTAACCCCTAAACCCTACACCCTTGCGGGTGGAGCCATAGTGTGGCGTAGGACTCTGCTGGTGGTGGCTGTGGAAACAGCCTTGACTCTGGAGACTCAATGGCAATAGCAATTAGGGCAGAATAATGCAACCAGTGATCATGCCATGATGGCAATGTCTTGTAGATATCTATGTTCTGCACAACGTAACTCCTTGCCAGGCTTTCGGAGGGGGTGCGACTCTTCGTCGTTCCTTCTGATCAGCTTAGGAGATCGATTCCCTCGTCTGGTTTACTGATCGAGGCATTCACGCGGCCTAAGCCTACCACCGGCTTGCGGATTAGGGTGGGGAATGAAGCACCGCATTCTGAGACAAGATCTTCTCCGACCTCATCGAAGGATCGCCGATGGTCACTCCTTCCCCTAAAGCCTTAAACCCAGAGAGCCCAATACCCCTTAATTAAGGAATATACCTTAAATTATAAGGGGGCGCATAATATGATTTAAGGTATATTCCTTAATTAGGGGGTATTGGGCTCTCTGGGAACCCCTAACCCTTAACCCTAATCGGGCTTACGGCCTCAAGCGTTAGCTTACCGAACCCTTCTGCCAGCCAACACGAGCCATGTGCACACTGGCTACACAAAAAATAAGCAAAAGCCTTTCAAAACGAAAGCCCAGAGACCCCTCAACCCCAAAACCCCTTCAGCGCCAAAGAACAATAAACTCCAAACCCTGGAACAACCCGAGTCTTGCAAAGAACGAAAAACTCGTTTAAACCCTAAACCCCAAACCCTAAACTCTAAACCCTAAACCCCAAACCCCAAACCCTAAACCCCAAACCCTAAACCCCAAACCCCAAACCCTAAACCCCCAAACCCTAGACTTTGTAGTACTTCTGCACCCCTCCGAAACCCGCAAGTGGGCCGAAGGATGGCCTCCCTTAGGGCATTGGCCGTTGCAAGAAGAATCCTCGGCACCGGAACACAGAGTGCCCAATATCTCTTAATGAAGGTTTATTCCATAAATCGTATTAGGGATGCTACTATAGTTTAAGGAAAATTCCTTAATTAAGGGATATTGGGCAATCTGGGAAGATCCCGCAACTTCTACGGGTTCTACACGGGCTTAGGGTTCAGGATTTAGGGTGTGGAAGGGTTTATGAGTCCATAAGGGCGCTGGAAGGGTTCTCGAACCGGGGTTTAGGGTTTAGGGTTTAGGGTTTAGGGTTTAGGGTTTAGGGTTTAGGGTGTCTTGGTGGCTTTTTGGTTTCTCGAGTCTTTTTGCAGCGTGTTGCAGCAAGGGGTCTGCTTTGTATGAGGGCTGGCATAGGGATTACCGTAGGCGTTACTGAGCGCCTACTGCGCTAGATAGCATAACTAAGTTGGCAGCTACCATTTCCATTTTCTAACCATGCAACCCCCCCTAGCCCCCAAACCGTAACAACCTATACCTCAACCTTCAACTCACAAAAACATCCATGGTAAGACCCACAGTATGGAACCACCAGACGAACCATGCACCACCACATGTTGGCCTTGATTAGAGGGGTTCTTGCAATGCAACAACGAGGAAGTTATGGAGTATGTAGAGTAGTCTTTTCGCTGCAATTAACAACCACAACACTATTCATGAATAATGTTATGATGGTAATACTTGTAATCCTAAGCCCTAAACCCTAAAGTAATTAACTTGCTTTGCCATGCTCTTTAGAGTTGCTCAATTTGGTTCTTGCTCGCTTCGTTGCCTCTGCTTTTGCTATTGCATTTTCGTTAGCTGCAATAAGCGAGAAACACCTCCAACGCACGTGTAGTCGTCTCAGAACGAGGGCGCACCCAAATTTTTGCAGAAACAGCAATCCGAAACCCCTACTGGTTGGTCTTGGCCTAGACTGGCACGGCCGGTGATGCGAGTATGAATGGATTGCACTGGTCCATATCACCTTGGCACTCAATATGCTTTTTGTGCGCGATCAGGGGTTGGGCACGCCAGACTGCCCCGAGCAATTGCTTCCAAAACCGATGAGCCGACCATCCGACCGCACAGCACAGGTGTGACCACCGCCAGCTGAGACTGCCACACCTGCTCCCACATCTGCTGGCACATCACACTGCCCCGAGAAATTTTGTCCGAAACAGATGAGCCCACCATCGGCCCGCAGCGCGCACGTATGATCATGGCCAGCTGAGACTGCCACAACTGGTCCCACATCTGCTGGCACATCACACTGCCCCGAGTAATTGTCTCCGAAACAGATGAGCCCACCATCTGCCCGCAGGGCGCACGTATGATCATGGCCAGCTGAGACTGCCACAACTGGTCCCACATCTGCTGGCACATCACACTGCCCACATGAATGGTCTCCAAAACACATGACCCGACCATCTGCCTGGATTGCACAGGTATGATGGCCGCCAGCTGAGACTGCCACAACTGGTCCAACAGCTGCTGGCACGTCACACTGCCCCGACCAATTGCATCCGAAACAGATGAGCTGACCATCCGACCGCAGAGCACAGGTATGACAGTGGCCAGCTGAGACTGCCAAAACTGGTCCCAAATCTGCTGGCACATCACCTCGCCCACTTCCATTATCTCCAAAACAGATGAGCCGACCATCTGCCTGCACTGCACAGGTATGCTTGCCGCCAGCTGAGACTGCCAAAACTGGCCCCACGTCTGCTGGCACATCACATTGCCTATATTCATTCCACCCCAGACAGATGAGCCGACCGTCTGCCCTCACTGTGCAAGTATGAGAATTGCCAGCTGAAACTGCCAAGACTTGTCCCAACTCTGCTGGATACCGCCTACGTCGCCAGAGTGCGCTGCAGGCTATCAGACCGTCTTTCCTTACGACGGACTTCCAAGAGTATGGTGAGAATGTGGGAGTCCGAGTCCACCTGTGCATGTTTCCGGACAAGCATCCATCCCGTTGCAGCTTTGGCAATGCGAAACGCGATTGACCCAGCACGGGCATCAGCCTTTGGCCAGCGAGGGCTGGAAGAAACGCCTGCATTGCCAGGCTGGATGTCCAGGAGACTATGGCAAGTGCCAGGCCAGCGTTGATAACGATTGAGACATGCATAACGGAAGGAACTCTCCAAAAACGCGTGATGCGGCAATATGACCATCTGGACAAGCAAGCTATTTGCTATGAGCAAAGACAGGAAACCCTGGAACGTTGGACTGAAATGTCCCAACAAGTGTGATGTAGGTATAGCTCCCATTTCATCGTTGGGTCTTGGGTTGGGGTCTTTTGACAGGTTGAAGGTTGTTTGGGGCATCGGTTGTTATGGTTTGGGTGCTAGGGGTCACGTGCACGCGCGCCTCTGGTCTGGCCTCTTCCTATGGGTCTTCTGGTGGTTACAGGGGTTGAGGTACGGGTTGTTATGGTTTGGGGGCTAGGGGGGGCTGCATGGTTAGAAAATGAAAATGGTATCTGCTAACTTACCACAGGGAATACTATGGTGTGGCAAACTAGGGACTGAACAGCTGGAAAGGGCGAAAAGGCTCGAGGGCTTTACTATAGCAACAGAACTCAAACCAGTAAATTCAAGTAGATGGTCGCGAAGCGACCGCTGGAGGTTAAGAACTTGGGGTTCGAAAGCCCCGGCCCCTAAATGGGAGTTTCCGAAATTTAGGGGCCCATCCTACTATTTAGGGTACTATATTTTTCGGAAACTATATTTTTCCGAAAATTAGGGGTACCCTATTCTGGGGTCCTTATAGTAAGGACTATATTAGGGTCCCCAATTTTCGGAAACTCCCAAATGGGAACTACCTGCCCAAACCCGTCGATCACAGGGCCGAACTCCTGGAAACCATGGGATCCGGAAAGCCTTTTCTACTATTTGCTTAAGAACCCCCAAAAAATAAAAAATATATTCCTTATGGCGGTAATATCGGGATTAGTATTTTTATTTTTTGGGTGGGTTTCTTAAGCAAATAGTAGTTTTCCATCGGTGATGGGAGGCCAACAGGGGGGGTTGAGATTCTTGGGGTAGGGATTAGGGTTTAGGGTTTAGGGTTTAGGGATTTGGGTTGAGGGTTTCGGGTTTAGGCAGTAGGGTTTAGGCATTAGGGTTTAGGGTTTAAGATTCTTGGGGATTCCTTTCTATGAACCTTATTATGGGAACCCTAGCCCCCACTAAACCCCCCATAGGCTAAAACCCCTTTTGGCCTCCTGTGAAATGGGGACCCCAGCCCTGGGTGGCGCCAAGCACCAACAGCACCTGAACCACCCGCCCCCAGAGAGCCCAATACCCCTGAATTAAGGAATATACCTTAAATCATATTATGCGCCCTCTTGTAATTTAAGGTATATTCCTTAATTAAGGAATATACCTTAAATCATTTTCTGCGCCCTCTTATAATTTAAGGTATATTCCTTAATTAAGGGGTATTAGAATCCCCTAAACCCTAAACCCTATAGATCTCTTAAAGGATCCCTTTAAAGGAAGCCTAGGTATATTCCTTAATTAAGGGGTATTGGGCTCTCTTGGCCGGTCTTCATCCGAATCATTCCGAATCCATCACATGCACACGGTTTAAGGTTTACTTGGAGGCTCGTGGTGAGTGATAAGTAGGGTTATAAGTAGGATAGCTATAGTTATAACCCTTTTTAAAGGACTTATAACCCCACGTATAACTACCCATGAACAGCCAAGTAGACGTAGACCCTAAGCCCTATACCCTCATAGAAGCCCTATAGATCCCTTTAAAGGGACCCCCAAAGGAACCCTTGTAACTACACATGAACATCCAAGTAGGGTTTAGCCCATCGCCGGGGTGCATTCGTGAAACTTTGTCGCACTGCTCGAGGATGCCATCGATCAGCGCCTTTTTGGCTCTGGATGCCCTACTTGGAGGGTCGGGGGACTTAGTAAGTAGGTAGTAAGTAGACTTATAAGTACCCTAAAAGGGACCCTAATTGGGGTTATGGTACTTATAAGTCCTTAAAATAACCAGTTACTAAGTCCCCCGACCCTCCAAGTAACAAACCAGCCCAAAGTTCAAAGTCTGTCGCCCGCGCCGTTCGCTGCCAAATGCTTGTGCAGACTGAAACCTTAAACGCTCAACCCTAAAATCTAAACCCCTAAATGTTAAACCCTAAACCCCTAAACGCTCACCCTAAACTCTAAGCCCTAAACCCCCAAATCTAAACCCTTAACCCCTAAACACTAAACCCCTAAGTTGTAAACCCTTTTCCCCTAAACGCTAAACCCTCTTCTGGGCTCAGGGCCGAACTTGATCGGGGCGTCGATTTCTCGTAAGCTGGGGGTCGGGGAGCCAGGTCCGCTGTAAACCTTAGAAGCTGCCCCCACCCTGTAATAGTGGTATAATAGGAATATAGTAGGGCCCTAATATAATCCTTATAGTCACTATTACAGGGCGGGGGCCCCTTCTAATGTATACCTTTTAAGGTTCCCACATCTTCAAAACAAGTCCTCAAAAAGGTAGGTTATTGGGGTTAAGGAACCTGCTACTACTTCAAGATTCATGGGACTTAGTAACTGGGGCAAAAAAGCAAGGTAACTAGACTTAAAATTACTCAAAACTAAAATACTTCCAGCCTTACATACGAAGTCCCATGATCCTCCAGGCACGGGATCCTGGCCATTGAGTAGGCTGTCAATGAAACTACAGTCTCACAGCACCAGCACCCTAAACCCTAAACCCCTAAACCCTAAACCCCTGAACCCCAAACCCCTAAACCCTAAACCCTAAACCCCTAAACCCCAAACCCCTGAACCCCAAACCCCTAAACCCTAAACCCTAAACCCCTAAACCCCTGAACCCCTGAACTCCTAGTAACACCGAGACCAGATGGCGGGACCTCTACCCAGAGAGCCCAATACCCCTTAATGAAGGAATATAGCTTAGATCATAATATGAATCCCCTTATAAGTTAAAGTATAATCCGAAAGTAAGGGGTATTGGGCTCTTTGGGTAACCTTCCCGAAGAAGCGAAGCTTTACACTCCCAACCTTCCATCTGAAACTTCAACCACCAGACGCAAGACTCTGCATCCCACCTGTAGCCGAAAAGACCTACGTACCTTTTTAAGGAACTCTATACAGAAACCATAAGAAGGAACCCTAGAAAGGTAGTTCTTCCCGGCTACAGGTACACTCTATCCACTACATCCTTAACCGCACATCTTCATCCCAGAGTCCTAAGGGACAAATACATCCTACACCCTAATCGCCACATCCTCAACCGAAAACCCTAATCCCTAAATCGAAAGCCCTAGGCTTGGAGGCCTCAAAAGGTGGGATGAAGGTAGGTAGGATCAAGGATCCCTTATATAAGGACTCTAATTCTGGGATTACACCACCGACCTTCATCCCACTCTTAGAGCCCTCTGATAAGCGATCCACCAGCCTGCTGCTGGCCGGAGGAGTTCTCAACGGCCGCCATGATCCTCTGCGAATGCCATTTCCGTTCAGGGAATCAGGTTTGGTTATAGGCTTGTGCTGGGGGCGGGATTTACATTCAGCATGTACAATCAAGGGTAGCAAAGCACAGCTGCGTAACCGTACAGGACCCTCAGAAGCAAAAACATAAAGAGACAGAGAGTGGAAGACTGGTAGATGGACAGGCAGATAGGTGGATAGGTAGATACGTAGATATGTAGATAGACAGATAGATAGACAGATCGATAGATAGATAGTTAAATAAGTAGATAGAGAGATAGATAGACACATAGGTAGGCGGAAAGAGATGGATAGATCGGTAGTTCGATGTGGACCGATAGGTCGAAATTTCTATAGACCGATCGACCGACCGATCGACGGATGGACGGATGGACGGACGGATGGGGCTTAGGGTTTAGGGTTTACGACGGATGGACGGATGGATGGATGGATGAAGGGCGAGGGAGGGAGGGAGAGAAGGATGGATAGATAGATACATAGTTAGGTAGGTGGGGGGATAAATAGTATGTATATGAAAAAAGACAGAAAATGGAAAGATACATCAATCGATAGACAGATCGATAGACAGACAGACGATAAGTTAGACAGATACGTCGGGCTGAGGGTTTAGGAGTTTAGGCTGTAGCTTGAGCCTTGGGTCCTAAGCTGCGTCCTTACCACTGAATCCGAAGCACCTACTTGGAGGTTCATGGCTAGTCATAAGTATGGTTATAAAATAGGATTACTATACGTATAACCTATATTGAAGGACCTAGAACCTCTCACTTAGAACTACCCAAGAACCTCCAAGTAGATCCTGAACTCCCAGCCGCGGAACCCGATGGTCCGGCATCCTACACGTTTAGGGTTTAGGGTTAACTTACCTTTGGTTAGTAGGGAATGGAAGAATGGTAGTAATAGTAGTTATAATTGTACCCCATTCCTCCATTCCCTACTAACCAAAGGTAAGTTTAAGGTTCAAGCAGCCAAAGCCTTGCAAAGTTGAAGTTTGGGGCATCTGCCCTCAGCCATATGCTGCAAGGCAACTGAGCTCCCCTTTTTGACGTGGAGCCACCTGCTTGCATGTACTGGGGTTGAGGCCTTAGGGGAAGGCCAAAGGTGAAGACTTGAATTCGGTTCTCGGTTCTAGCTCGCCCCCTCTTGCCAGAAGAAAGACGTTGAAACCTAAACCCAAACCCTAAACCGTCCGCAAGCGCTGAACACTAAGATGAACCTGCTTGAAGGGCTTACTGAATCGAAGCAAGAAGCCTCCTAAGCGTTGAAGGTTTG